CTTCTGGTTTGAGCGTGCTGCGCAGGACAGCAGCAGCCAGCGAGGGAGAGCTCAGGGAAGGTCGCGCACGGCAGGGACGGGCTCTCTCTCTCTCTTTTTCAGAAGGGGTAGGGGAGCGCCGGCTCCTCGCGGAACCCCTCGTTGTGCTACGTGGAACCCCAGGGTTCCGCGGAGCACCAATTGGGAAACACTGTGCTAGGCAATGCATTGTCTGACAGGCACGGGGAAGGGGCCAGCCCTTTAAAAAGAAACAGCTGAAAGGGATCACAGTCCCTGGCAATGCACTAGAGTAGTGGTCCCCAACCTTTTGGGGCTGCCGGATGCCCGGGGCGGGGGCCACACATGCGCCGCACTCCCAGGGGCGGCACCACACATGTGCCACGTGCCCGGGGCAGGAGCCACGCATGCGCCAGGCGCCCGGGGCTCAAGAATGGCCCTGGTCACTAGGTGTGCGCACATAAATGCCCTGGTGGGTGCCATGGCGCCCACGGGCACCACGTTGGGAACCACTGCACTAGAGGCAAGGGGAGCTGCAAACCCTGGTTTAAATGACTGGAGGCCCAAGTGTCGACCCTACATTCGATCCGAGAGGATGAAGACTTCCTCAATAGAAGGCAGCATTTAATCCTACAAGCACGGCAGGCGAAAGAGCCAGAGAGGGCAGTACGGGACCAGGAAGAGAACTGGCAGCATGTAACTTCTAGAAGGGGGAAAAGGCCAGCACAGGAATCCCCCAATGTTATAGAGGTAAATAATCACTTTCAGGCTCTCTCCACAGGCTCTGCAGTGGTGACTGCTTTGGAAGGGACCTCACAAGGAAGAAACCGGAAGAGAACACCATCTACTGGAAGGCATGGGATGTGTAGTCCTAGGCATCGAGGTTCCACGACCACCATCCCCAAAAGAAGACGACGGGTGGTGGTGGTCAGGGACTCCCTCCTAAGACGGACTGAGCCATCAATCTGCCATCTGGACCTGAAATCTTGACAGGTGTGCTGCTTACCGGGAGCTCAAATTCAGGATGTGACTGAGAGGATTACTAAACTGATCAAACCTTCAGATCGCTACCCCTTCCTGCTTCTCCACATGGGAACTAACGATACGGCCAAGAATGACCTTGAGCAGGTTACTGTGGATTATGTAGCACTGGGAAGAAGGATTAAAGAATCTGGAGTGCAAGTGGAGTTCTCATCCATCCTCCCTGTTGAAGGGAAAGGACTGGGCAGGGATCGTCGAATTGAGGAAGTAAATGCATGGTTGTGCAGGTGGTGTCGCAGAGAGGGCTTTGGTTTCTTCGACCATGGGACTCTGTTCCGGGCACAAGGATTGTTAGGAAGAGATGGGATCCACCTAACCAAGAGAGGAAGGAACATCTTCACAGGCAGGCTTGCAAACCTAGTGAGGAGGGCTTTAAACTAGGTTCGTTGGGGGACGGTGACCAAAACCCTAAGGGGAATGAGAAAGTTGGACACCGGGAAGAAATGCAAAGAGGAACGAGCAAGAAAGGAGGACCCCTGATTCGAATGGAGAAGATAGGGCAATCAACTGGTTATGTGAGGTGTTTGTACATCAATGCGAGAAGCCTGGGCAACAAACAGGAAGAACTGGAGGCCCTGGCCCAGTCCAAGAAATATGATATAATTGGAATAACAGATACTTGGTGGGATGACTCGCATGACTGGAGCACTGTCATGGAAGGGTATAGACTGTTCAGGAAGAACAGGCAGAGGAGAAAAGGAGGAGGAGTTGCACTATATGTAAGAGAGCACTGTGATTGCTCAGAACTCCAGTGTATATATAGAGAAAAACCTGTTGAGAGTCTATGGGTTTAGTTTAAAGCTGCAAACAACAGCAATGATGTTGTGGTTGGTGTCTACTACAGGCCACCAAATCAGATGGATGAGGTAGATGAGGCTTTCTTCGGACAACTGAGAGAAGCTTCCAGATTGCAGGCCCTGGTTCTCGTCGGGGACTTTAATCACCCTGACATCTGCTGGGAGACCAATAAAGTAGAGGTGGGTGACAACCTCAGAAGCAGTGATCATGAGATGGTAGATTTCAGGATCCTGACCAAAGGAAGAAAAGAGAGTAGTAAAATACACACCTTGGACTTCAGAAAAGCAGATTTTGACTCCCTCAGGGTATGTCTAGGCAGAATCCCCTGGGATGCTAACATGAAGGGGAAAGGAGTCCAGGACAGCTGGCAGTATTTTAAAGAAGCCTTATTGAAGGCACAGAAAGAAACCATCCCGACACGTAGCAAGAGAGGCAAACCTGGTAGGAGACCGGATTGGCTTACAGGGGAAATCCTTGGTGTACTTAAGCACAAAAAGGAAGCTTACAGAAAGTGGAAACTTGGACAAATGACTAGGGAGGAGCTTAAATGTATAGTTCGAGAATGCCGGGGGGTTATCAGGAAGGCGAAAGCGCAAATGGAGTTGCGACTGGCTAAGGATGTGAAGGATAACAAGAAAGGTTTCTACAGGCATGTCAACAAGAAGAAGGTGATCAGAGAGGGTGTGCAGTCCCTAATGGATGAAGGAGGTAACCTAGTGACAGAGGATGTGGGGAAAGCTGAAGTACTCAATGCTTTCTTTGCCTCTGTATTCACGGACAAGGTCGGCTCCTGGACTTCTGTGCTAAGCGACGCAAGATGGGAAGAAGATGGACAGCCCTTGGTGGGTAAAGAACAGGTTAGGAACTATTTAGAAAAACTAAACGTACACAAATCCATGGGTCCAGACTTAATGCACCCAAGGGTACTGAAGGAGTTGGCAAATGTCATTGAGGAGCCTTTGGCCATTATCTTTGAAAAGTCGTGGAGATCGGGCGAAATCCCGGATGATTGGAAAAAGGCAAATGTAGTGCCCATCTTTTAAAAAGGGAAGAAGGATGATCCAGGGAACTATAGGCCAGTCAGTCTTACCTCGGTTCCTGAAAAATCATGGAAGGGATCCTTAAGGAATCCATTTTGAGGCACTTGGATGAGAGGAAAGTGATTAGGAATAGTCAGCATGGATTCACAAAGGGCAAGTCATGCCTGACCAATCTGATTCGCTTCTATGATGAGGTAACTGGCTCTGTAGACATGGGAAAGTCAGTGGATGTGATAAACCTTGATTTTAGCAAGGCTTTTGATACAGTCTCCCACATTATTCTTGCCAGCAAGTTAAAGGAATGTGGATTGGATAAATGGACAGTAAGATGGATAGAAAGATGGCTAGAAGGCCGGGCCCTGTGGGTAGTGAACAACGGCTCGATGTCAGGAGGGCGGGCGGGGTCTAGCGGAGTGCCCCAAGGGTCAGTTCTAGGACAGGTTTTGTTCAATATCTTTATTAATGACCTGGATGAGGGGATGGATTGCACCCTCAGCAAGTCTGCAGATGACACTAAGCTAGGGGGAGAGGTAGATATGTTTGAGGGCAGAGATAGAGTCCAGAGTAACTTAGACAAATTGGAGGATTGGGCCACAAGGCCAAGTGTAGAGTTCTGCACTTGGGACGGAAGAATCCCAAGCATAGTTACAGGCTGGGGGCCAACCAGTTAAGTAGTAGTTCTGCAGAAAAGGACCTGGGGGTTACAGTGGATGAGAAGCTGGATATGAGTCAACAGTGTGCCCTTGTAGCCAAGAAGGCTAATGGCATATTAGGTTGCATTAAGAGGAGCATTGCCAGCAGATCCAGAGATGTCATTATTCCCCTTTATTCGGCTCTGGTGAGGCCACATCTGGAGTATTGTGTCCAGTTCTGGGCCCCCCACTACAAAAAGGATGTGGACACATTGGAGAGGGTCCAGAGGAGGGCAACCAAAATTATTAGGGGGCTGGAGCATATGACCTATGAGGAGAGGCTGAGGGAGTTGGGTCTGTTTAGTCTGCAGAGCAAAGAGTGAGCGGGGATTTGATAGCAGCCTTCAACTTCCTGAAGGGAGCTTCCAAAGAGGATGGAGAAAGCCTTTAAATAGAAACAGTGGAAAGGGCTCGCAGAGGAAGAAGGGGGCTTTCTCTGACATTTGGCCTCATGTAGATGGGGCCAAATGGTGGAAAAGCCTCTTCAAGGGGAAAAAAACCAGAAGAAGGTATGCAAATGTGAGTGCTATTCTCATACCTCTTCCGGAGGGAAAAAAAAGACAGTGTAGCCGTACCATGAGACACTGGTTTGGAGGATGAGTTTGGAGATAGGAAAAAGGAGGAACATAGTCAAAGGGTCAGAGGCTAATGGAAAACAATCTGTCGAGATCAGAAATTAAGCATCACAAAACCCTCAGTACAAATCAGATGGGGTGGGTGTGGGAAGTCATGAGACCTCTTTTACGGTAGGACTCCAGGTAGCTCAGATCGCTTCCCAATAGTAATGAAGTATGTCCTGCCAGAGTTCTTGACTAATCCCTTGCAATTAAGTATGTTCTACCAGAGTTCTTGACTGAGCCCTTGCAACCTATCATGATTGATGTCTTAAGATATGTGGACTAAATAGAAATCTGTGGGACTAGTACCAGTAGTAGCAAGTGAAAACGTAACCAAATGACACACTGTACAAACCTGGAACACTTTGTAATAATAGCAGTAAAGCCTGTGAGGCTGTAGTAATTCTCTTGCAACTAATTGTCCTTCTTTAGCAATCTTCCTAGCTTCATCATCATTTTCCTGAGAAATTGGAAAGAAACAGCAGTGAACAACAGTGCAGTCAGTGAATCACTCTATTCTTTTCTAGCAAGATAACTCTCATAAAGAGGACTGTTTGGCTCTGCAGTAATAGCTGCAATGCTATCCAATGTACAATTAGTGATAGCGTGCAAGAATACATTTAGTTCCAGATTTAAAGAATTTATCAATATGCATGGTCACAAAAACATTTTTATCTTTAGGACTGCTGGTAAAAGTATTGATAGTCAATTGTATATATTTGGAAAAATACATCAGCTATCGCTTTACTGCATTGTTCAAGCCACAGGCCAGTTCACAAGGAGGTTTTAGGTGTCTCACACAGATTTGGTTACACAGAACAGAGAGCTGTAGTTGTTGTCTTTTCTTACTACATGTAATTAAGTGTTTCTGTTTCCAGCTTTGTTCTCTGTGAAGCTTTTTGACTGAGCCATCCTGGATAACACAAGTAGAATGTGTTTTGGTGATATGGATAGTGTATTAAGCATTTTTATTCATGTAATTGTATTCAAGAGTTTTAGAGCTTCGTTTCAAAGCTTGTAATAACCTTCATCTGGTCCTTTGTGTACAACTACAGTACTCAGAACTGAAATATTTATTGTGTTTCTCACAGTGTTAGTATTGGTTTTGAAGCCCAATCTTTATTCTACATCATCAAATGATGTTTAGCCTATTTATAAATACCCCTTCTCTCTCATTTTATGTTATATGAAGGTGTTATTTTGGTATATCTGAGTAGGTTATCTGTATTAATTTCTTCTCTGTGATCACAGCATTTAAAAAAGTAATCTGAAGTTTGAAAGCAATTTTTAAAGATCTGAAAAACTGTTTAAAGTTATTCTACAGCAAAACAAGCATAGGCATGTGCTTTAGGCATGTGCTTACATAAGTTCCTTCCTGAATGGGGATGTTTACCTGAATTGGGACCTTACTTGCATGTAGTTAAATTAATAATAATAGCAACATACTCATCTTTTCCCTGAGTATCTCAGTGTAGAGTTGCACAACACAGATGTATCAATACTAAAGGAAGAGAACTACTAAGAATGTGTTTGCTTATATGTCAATTTATCCCCTTTAACTTTGTTGGTAATAACACTCACCTTAGCCCATTTAATTTTTTCTAGCAAATCACCAAGGCTTCTTTTAATTGGAATATAATGTTTCCATGGTTTTAATTCACTGTAGAAGTGCTCATAGAATTGAGAGGCTTGTTTCAGTACTAGACAGTCACCCAACATGAGGTACGGAAATCTGTATGCTGCTACTGTCCCATCTACATTCACTTGATATTTGTACTGTAAGGGGAAAACAAAGATGCAAAAAAGGAGAATTTTTTTTTGAATTATTACCTACCCCACAGTGCTGACCTCAGGGTCAATTAAAAATCATGCCAAATACTGCTCACCATAACAGTCCCACAGAAGTCAATAAATAAAGCAAGAGGGACATGGCCCAGTGATTTTGTGAAGTGTAAGCCCATTAAAAAAATCCCCAAAACTGAAAGGAGGGGTAAGAAAATCAAATGCTTTTATCTAGAAGACCACCAAAGCCTTTCCAGTCATCCATATCTGCTCCATGTTTTACATGCATGAATTCAAAACCTTATACAAAAACAATGAGGATGCCTGTGGCACTGTAAATCCTAACAGATTTACTTGGGCATGAGCTTTCATGGGCAAAGACCTACTTTTTCAGATTATGCTGACATACCCAAATAAATCTGGAAAGGACAAAGGTTTGGGTAAGGAAAGCTACCATCTAATTCTAGTCTATAGCTCATGATAATCTCTCATTTCAAGAAGTTTTTACTTTCAATTAAAAGTAAGCAGAGTAATAGTTAACATTTACACTAAAAGTAATACAATGTGTCCACTTTGGAGATGTCTGTTTTTAGCATTTCTGATATAATCGATCTTATACCTCAGATGGTATAAAATATACCGTATATTCCGGCGTACAAGACGACCTCTGAAGTTAAAAATCATCCCCCAAAAATCGGGGGTCGTCTTGTACGCCGGATGCCCCGCCGCCGGAGCCCCCCCGCGGCTTTGAAAGCCTGGGGGGAAGCCGGCGGGGGGGCATCCCAGGCGCGCATGGGCTCCCCCCCCCCTCCCCGCCGGAGCCCCTCCGCGGCTTTGAAAGCCTCGGGGGAAGCCGGCGGCGGGGCATCCCAGGCGCGCATGGGCTGCCCCTCCGCAGCTTTGAAAGCCTCGGGGGAAGCCGGCGGCGGGGCATCCCAGGCGCGCCTGGGATGTATACCCCGC